CCTATCCCCTGTGTGCCTTGACCACCTGCCAACAATATGACGGCAACACGACCTTCAGCTACTTCTTTTAAACCTCGTTCCCTGTATCTATTTAATTCTTCCTTTGTTGACGTCTCAACAGAGGCAATCTTAATCTCGTCGATTGGTCGAACCTTGTCATCCAGCATACCGATGCACTGAGAGGATTCCACAGCCTTCTTAAAATATCCTGTAACTTCCTGCAAGTCAAGTTCGTTTAAATCATTCTCCAGCTGGTTCCTATCCTCATCAGTCAGTTCCTCCCAAAATCTGAGCAGATGTTCCTGCTTGTACTCGCTCAGCTTCTTCCTCAGGCATTCCATACTTGTCATCTGTGTTTGACACTTGTGAAGTTGTGTACGACGTATCCCTATCGGGCGTCAAGTTTATCGTCGTTTGTCCTCGGTAAAGGCTCTCGATACGGCGATCCACGTCACGCCGAGATGCGAACGCGAGAGTGAGGAGAAGGTGGTAACAGGCAACAGGTATTCATCGGATTCGATCGGCCTTTCTCGCGGGTGGTAGCGGCAGCGGCAACGGCGGCATACCTTCACTTTCACGATACCACGTAGCACGCCCGGCTCGATTTCTCTTATCGACCCCTCCCGCCCGGCCGGCCATCTCCGAGCGTATAATCTTTCTTTTCCTCGCCACCATGTCTTGCAACGGGTCGTCGGGGAGCAGCCGCCGCTCGCGAATAATAGCTCGTTGCCGAGAGAAAAGCTACCTCTTCGGCGATAACGAAAGTGACGTTAACCTGTGTATCGGACAGCCCTTTACTCGCGCTCGCCTTGTATTTAATCGACGACACGCGACAGCCGGCCGTCGAGTGTCGGCGCCGATCGACCTCTGTTGGTCTCCGCCGAGTCTGTCGGCCGTCGACGGTCATGAGTCGAACAAAAGAGATCTGCCCAAATGTCGGTGGCGCCAATGTGAGACGCGCGCGGACCTCACGCGTCACGTTGCTTTTTCGTGAAGGTCGCGCGACCTCGCTGACCGATAAGTCATCATGTCAAAATGCCAGACACATTATGTATGTACCCCGTACACGTCGTATTTCCTGAAGTATTCTTCCCTCGCGCGCCTTTCCGGCGAGCGCAGGCGAGAGACGCGAAAGAAAAGTTTGCGGCGAGAGAGCGAACGACCTTGATTTCAGAGCAACGCTCTCGCTGGAGATAACTGCCCAAACAGGAATTTCCAAACGTTTTATTTTTTTTTCCTGCCTTTTTTCCCCCCCCCTTTTTTTTGCGCACGCGTGCGTCCGTCGGTGATACCGAAATCGCGGGAAATCTGTTGTCTAACTTCGTCAATGACTTTCTTCTTGGAAATAGTGAGATATTCGAAATTGAGATAAAGACTGAATTTCAGTAAAATACGTACGTGAGCATTTTTTTATAGTATACGTGACATGAACTGTAGACAAATGCGTGCATAATGTACTTTATGAAATGCGGCCAAAATGAAATATTTTTAAAAATATGTAATCAATCAAGTATGTGATTTTATTGTAGTTCTGATTTCGTTAGCGATCTTTATTTTTTTTTTATTACAATCTTTATCTTGCTCTAGCTTATCGATCAAAAATTTAAATTTAATTCAACAATTATATCTTTATCAATGTAATCGAAGATCGTAAATCTCTTTGCAAATTTTCAACTTCGCGCTTTAATTTCTCCCACCTGTTGAGCGTTTGTCAAACTGATATTAAACAATATCAATTCGAATGTGATCAAAAATATGATTCTCACACGTGAATGGACAGTAACACTCGCGCGCGAAAGCTCATTAGATAATTACGAATATAAAAAAGATATGACAATAAATAACAACCAATTAAAGAAATTACAATTATCAAACGTGAATTAGCGCTTTTCTTACGCGTAATTAAAATGATAGCAATATATATAATATCTTTCTTCGAAATATTTTTTATTCTCTCGTATCTTTGTATAACGTCTCTTATTAAATACATATAACTTTGCAATTTATAATATTACTACTTATTATGATTTTTATTTTGACAGAAATATAATTTCTATTTAAAAACGTTCATTTAATATTTTGTAGCAAATAAGTATCAAGGAGACTGTCAATTAAAATTAATTTTGTCATTCGTATTGGGAATTGGGAAATTAATACTACATATCCCTTAACTAAATTCGATTGTCAAGAAAGAAATCTCAACATAAAGTAGTCGAAGACGAATATATTAACACTGTTGTTAGTAAACAAGAATTATGCTTGTTAAATCAAATATCAAAGATATGTCTACATTTTAGGGCGTAGGAATAAAGAGAATAATGGAGAATTGTTTGTCGCAAAAAAATTTTACCGTCATTTTTCTTGTATTTTAATGCTCGTTAACCGTCTCATGTTATGAGGGCTCTTTAATAATTAAGATAAATAACATATTAATAACGAAATTTTCTTCCCATTATTTTGTTTCAATCTTCAAACAAGCTAGTATCAAACTTCAACTCGATGTAATTATGTGCCACCAAAGAAGACTCGTTCAATACAGATGCCACACTGTTCACATTGAACAAAAAATGTCAGCGATGCATTTTTCACTATTCATTGAGTCTTTGAAAAGTTTCAAAGTCGTAATTCGATAAAAATGGTATCAATAACCCTCAAACCCTCGTCGAGTTAAATCAAGCTAAAAGAAGATTGTTGAAAAGTAATAAGTATCGTTCAACTTGAATGATTGTTTTTCTTTTCTTTTATCTTGCTTATCAAAGAACTCTCGTATGGGAGCGCGCGAAGAATGAGTTCGTAATGAGTTGATTGATCTGAACAAAGATAGATAAAAAAAAAGTAACCGGCTATATAACGACCGATAACGAATAATGTATAGACTACGCGTATATAAAGCACAATTACAATATATTTCACAAATTGTTTAAACATTCATACATAATTATACGAATTTTCGCATATGACGAAAAGGCGATTTAATGAAATCAGGGGAAGGAGTATATCGTAAAAACAATGTATTTCAAAGACAGGAAAAACGTTGGGGCATCGAAGAACGATCGCGAATTAGTTTCGAAATTGCCGACATGTAACGCCGCGATAGCAAAAGTACTGGATTTAATAGCTACGAGGCCTGACTCTTCGCTGACAGTTCGAATGTCCGAGCCTTTTTAAATTTCTTTTAAGTTTCTTTTAAGTTTCTGAATTTTTTTGTCACGTTCACTGCACAATTTTGGAATGTCGAGGATATATTCTAATGTACCTTATCGAGGTGCAATAAATAAATGATATATCTCCTTTATAGTGAGACATATAGGATTGGATAACTGTGAGTTAGCGAAGGTTGGCAGTTGAGAAGACGCACATCTGCCACGGCCAACTAGCATAATAATTATCCATAGCTTTCGTTTTCCCAAGTTTTCTATCGCTGAGAACTTAAAAAAATAGAAAGAAACTTTTGTAACTAGGAAATGATAAGTCATTGCACCGTCTGCTGCAATTACTTTTTGCATTTTTCGTGTCAACCGCTGGACCGAAGCAAGAACGACTTTTGTAAATGTAGTGGACAGAGCAACATTCTCTCGTCTATTGATCACATTTTTATCATATTTATATAATGTAATGTACAATATGCAGCTACATTATGATAATCGGTATGTCCAACGCATTCAAAACTGGCAACACTGTGGGTACTTTACCTTTTTTCTCTCTCTCTTTCTCTCTCGCTCGCGCTCTCTCTCTCGTGTGTTCTTAAATTTTCTCATCGAAGAGGTATCGTTTAAATTACTCATTAATCAATGTGTATCGTACGTTTCAGAGTTAGGTACTTTAATATAATTACTTCCAAGTTTTTCCACATTCTTGTGGCATCTTTGTGTAAAAAGTGTAACTATATAATGCTAATATAATAATAATAATAATAATAATTATAATAAGTTGCACAAGGCAATAGTCCGATGTGGCCGTTCGATCGTGTGCCTGCGGCCGCTTCTTCGCTCCTCGCCCTCCTCAAAAAAAATCTAGTGACACAGAGACAACTCCCAGGAATAATTCCCCTTCTACATTTTCACTCGAAATTGGTGACGACATCGCTTGCATTGTTTGTTTCTTGTAATGTTATCCTTTCGTAACAGAGGAGGGGAGGAGGCATGCAGCTGTTTTCATACGATGTTAAAATAGCAACTGAATGTTGACAGAATAATTTTTCCAATTAGCGGTTAGCATTTTTCAGCTGATTGGAAAGCCAATCGAGGCCCTCGTAAAGTCCATCCCCACTCGTGGCACACGTCGCTTGAATGTACCAATTGCGATTACGTAGAGAATGTAATCCCAACTTGTCAGTGATCTCCGCTGCGTTCATTGCGTTTGGCAGATCCTGAAATATTATTCGTTTAATATTGTTGTTCATGTTACATCATGCTTATGTCATGCAAGTTTGATGAAGGATTACTTACTTGCTTGTTAGCAAATATGAGGAGTACCGCATCTCTGAGTTCGTCTTCCGCTAGCATTCTCATTAATTCTTCGCGCGCTTCACCAATACGTTCCCTATCATTACTATCAACGACAAATATCAAACCCTACAAGTCAATTATAAAGAAATGTAATACAACTGAATAAATTCAATATCCATATAACTCAAGCATGTGGTAAAAGAGATTAAAAAAGAGAAACGAGATAATGCATCCTATATACATGTCATTTTGTTACACATGTATATATTTTCAAATGTAATGTAAACTAAATTATAATTAATGAATGATACATACTTGTGTATTCTGAAAATAGTGCCGCCATAGAGGTCTTATTTTGTCTTGGCCGCCCACATCCCATACAGTAAAACTTATATTTTTATACTCGACCGTTTCTACATTGAAACCTAAAAAATATATTCATATACGTAACATCTCTGTCCTTTAACGCATTTATAAATTATTATGTTTAATAAAAGTGTATAATTTATAAAAAAAACTTATTTATCACTGTTGAATAAATTGATACAATTTCCTAGTTATTTGAATGAATTATATTATTTAATATTTCATATCACATTTTTAAATTATACATATTTATAAAAGAAATAGATGTATAATGCTTACCTATAGTGGGAATTGTAGTAACAATTTCCCCTAATTTTAATTTGTACAGAATTGTGGTTTTACCCGCTGCATCAAGACCTACCATCAAAATCCTCATTTCCTTTTTGCCAAAGAGACCTTTGAATAACGTTGCAAACATATTCCCCATGATTGGTATTTATATATTCGGACCTGAAGCATACATATACATATATATGTATTTAACTATATTACAATACATATTAATAAAAAAAAGTGTGATATTCTTATTAGGTACATATAATCAAGTTTTCGTCTTCTGAAGAAACACATCTTATAGGACAGCAATAAATTATCATTTCTCCTATGAAATTTCTATATTTAATTATAAATTCGAATTATAACATGTTTATACAATTAAGATTGTGTAATATAAAACAGAATGTAAAACACTGTTCGATATATACATCGATATATATAAGATGTATATATAACTTTTATGATTATAAAAACGAACATTTGATAAAGAAAGAAATTAGATCTATATCCTTGACTAAGCAACTCGTACAGTATCGCTTATTTAACAAATATATAAATAGCATGAAAGAAGATATCATATATATATATATATATGTATAATAAATAAATGCCATTCGTACACATTTGCTGTGGTACGCTTAACGAAACATGCCACACGTACAGTGTCACGTTGTTGAATCTTTTGTTCCTTTATATCATTTCATTGTACGTAAAGATGAGAGGAAAAGAATTTAGGAAACATAACAAAGACGTCACGAGATAGAGAATCAATTCACATGTGAACGAATGAGGGAGGAAGATGTCGTGGCGATGCGACACACATTCTTCGAAATGTGTAAAAGATCTTCGGTCACGTGGCAATATCCCCTACGGGAGGATTTATATCCATAAGAGACCACCAGACAGATAAAAAGGATCGCAATTATGCAGAGTCACAAAAAGCTTCGGCTGAGCTAACCTGATCGCGTTAAAGAGCAGCCGCGCGGGACGGGGCACGGGGGTGAGTTTCGACACGGCGCGAATCGCGTACGTTCGACCCCTCGTCGAGATACAAAGAGAGAGGAAAAAAAGTCATGCACGCACGAGACGCTCACGCGTTGCCCGCTATCGATTCTCATCTCAGTAAAATCGCTGTAATTATCGGAGCAGCATACCCTCGAGGATCGCAATAGACTGCTTTGCTGACGCAATAGGATCGCTATGCGGTGTTTCAAAGGACGTTCGTACTACTTAAAAGGCCAGTGGCGCGTGATACCGCGAACGAGTCGGAGGATATCGCGCGGTTTGACGAAGCCACTGCGCGTACACCCGGTTGCCTGTCACCTTCGACCTACTCCCCCAGCGAATCGTCAAAGGTTTCCCCGCTCAAAGTTCCATCACCCAGAGACGTGCTCTTAGTATCGAGTTCTCTGGTGACGCCACGTTGCACATATACGCCACTTACGTTACTTACGTTTCAGTAAAAAAGAGTATTTTCACGAGAAACGATAAAACATAAAACCAACACTCTCGAAAAGTACCGTATGTCAAAATGGCGGACGTGGAAAGGATTCGTACCTTATGCCACGTATAGGGTCACCGAGCCGCCACGATTGGCCCGACGCGTCACGTGACTATGAAAATTAAGACCGGTACGTGGCTGCCCCGCGAGATGGCGGCTTCAACCGCTGAGTCGGGAATTTCGAAATTGTCACCAACATGTATACGGGTATGCGCGCGCATCCGTACGTGCGCTTTGATTCGCGAGCATTTTTAAAGTCTTACGTCCATAATCTAGAGCTCCGATCCCGGATAGAATAGACCAATTGCATTGTTCAAATAATTCGGCCAATATTAATTAATGCGAGCTATTCTTTCTCTGTTCGAGATCTCGAGGTCGACTCCCATCTCCGATTAGCTTGATGAGTCAATTAAAAATGTAACAGTTTGCCAACTGCAAAACTTAAAATTGTATTCTGTTATTCTGTTTTTCACTTTCTGCAAATTATGATTTATTTATATAAAATATATTTATTTATATAAAATATATATATTTTTAAATATTAATTATTATTTTTAACTAAAGTAATTAACAAAATCAGATTAAAAATGATCAGTTAAGTTTTACAGTTGGAAATTATTAAATTTAATTGATCGATCAAACTGATCGGAGATCGGATTCGATATTCAGCATCTGTTGATCTGTTTTTTATATCTGAACTAATGTATGTACACTTGTATGTACTTAAAATGAAATAGATATGTATTTGCGAAGTTTGACAAAAGCGAGATAGAAAATTTTAGTGCAATTTAGTGCAGAAACAGGAAACAAACCTATGGGCACAAAACTTTAAATTGATTATTAGAACCTACAGAATGTGTAGTGCTAAGATTGGCGCTTATTCCTTTAGATCTAGAGGAATAATCCAATCTTAACACAAGATATTTACAATGTGTAAATATTCTGCGAACGTAATATATTTTAGAAAATTTTTAACGGTTATAAAAAAGCGTTTTGCTGAACGCCTGTTATCATATATAGCATGGAGGTATAATGATGTGTGTGTGTGTGTGTGTGTGTGTGTGTGTGTGTGTGTATTGTATATGTATATATTTATGTACATCACATGTTTATGGATTAACCTGACAGCGCGTGCTACACAATGCTGCGGCGCACTGAATTGTACTGAATGTATGTAGCGGAAAAAAAACGACGCCTGTGTATAAATGCCATAAGTTTATTTAATATTCTTAATATAATAGAGTACTTTTAAGTCAAATATTTCAAGATTTCATTCGTCGACATACAAAATGATAACTAACAAGTCATTTAATAAAATTTGATTGTTTACATTTATAGATTAGATCATCGTTGAATAATAAATTCCGGAATATCGGATTTTATTTTTTAGCAATTTGGCAGTATTTGTCACTGACAGTCACAAAATAGTAAAAAGTTGTGTCAAAAGGTATACGGCAATACTCACAGACTCATAACAGTGTTGATTTTCCATATGTACACAGAAGTGAAATAGTTTGAATCTTGCATTCTGTATGACATATGACAGGACAATCTCTACATTTTAGTGCCATCTTTCCAAATCTCATTCTGACAGAATCAAAAGAAAAATAATATAATTTTATTATATGTCCGGATTATATTTCAGTTAAGTATCTTTTATGAGTATTTCTTACCTCTTACCACATGAAACACAGGTTTCTGGTTTAATAATCATCTTTGATATAAAGTTATGATTCACAAATGTTTTAGCATTTAACAGTTCAGAATCAATATTTTCTTTATTAGATGCAGTTTGAATTTTAACAGGTACAGAACTTTTTCCATCTTTTGGCTTAATTCTCATTGTTACTCCATCTGGTGAGTTAAATTCTGCAATTTTGTCTAAAGTATTGTATTGTTTGTATACTATATTATTCATACAATATTCGTTATTAGGTTTATATTTTTTCCATTTTTTCTCTTTTTGAAGCTTTATGATGATATCCATATCCAAATCGTCTTCTGACTTTGATAAACAATTTAAGTCACTCAATATCGAGCCTGTAGAATCTGTTTCCGTTATTATAGTGAAACTGCAAAAATTATCATTATGATATAAAAACGGAATACGCTTTTACGCTGAATATATACTTACTCTCTATCGCTTTGTCTGTCTTGGACATTTAGATTATTATAAATTTGATTATTAAATTTGATTTCAGGCTTGTTAAGAAATTGTAGTTTCTCCTTGATACCTTCATCTAAATTTATCTCTCTATCATAAAATAATATTTCTCTAGTCATGTTAATTTGGCTTATCTTTCAAACATACAGATATACTTAATTAAAAACTGAATGGCAAATCATTTATATGTATTTTTTCAAATACTTTTCTTTATATGTGTAAAGAAAGAAATTAATATACCAATAAGTTTTTATAATGCTCAATCACTCGACGTTTACGTTTTTCGTCTTCTAGATTTTTTCTGGCATGACATAGTTTCTGACGAAGATTCATAGTTTCTCGGCGAAAACGATCTAAATCCGAACAGAGTTGTTGATACTCTTGCAAAGGTAGACATTTCATTTGTGGCATATTAGAATGCTGAAAACCTATATCAGAAACGCAAGCATAATTAGATATTCATACAATATAGATTTGTTTGACAAAATTTAATCATGTCTGATTATTATAAAAATACTTTGTTTTATTTTTAAATTATTCTATGTCATAATAATGACAAACATGCAAACAAGAAATGTGATTTACCTTCATTTTGTTCATTATTTATAAAGGACGTCATGTTGTATTATAAATATCTCTGATAACAATTATTTCTTAATTATACTAATCGCGATATAAAAGTGAATAACTATATATATATATATATACATGTACATACTCGACAAAATGACTAACTTTTATAGGTACAGAGTAAATTTTTATGCAAGAAATATCACTTCTGTTATAAATATATATATATAAAATCAGTTATCTTTCAAATCACTCTTTCATTTCTACCAAATAGTTAAATGAAAAATTCCTAGCTAATTATCCATTTCTCCATGCGTTAAAAATTTTGAATAAGAAATTTTGCGTGTTATATAAATTAAAGAATATCACGTACACCATACTAAATCATAAACTATATTTATTACACCTTAACTATTGTCATACTAGTATTGAATAGATGAAGAGTAGAATTACACAAAAAAATTTTGTAGATACTAAATTAGATAAATAGAAAAAAGAAAAAGAGATAATGTCATCACAGGCATTATTAGACAATCTGCTAGAGACGCCATTTAAACATAAATCTGAAATACGAGATGAATTGATAGCAGACTTGAGAAAAGTAATTGCCAACGGTGAATATTTACAACAATCTGAAATTCAGGTATTTTAATCAAATTCTATTATTTCGTTATTGTAATGCAATTGTAATGCAAGCCAAACGTTTTCTATCAAGGCAAAAAAAATTGTAGGAAAAGGTCGATGTTCTTTGTAAATGGATGTGTACAACACCAAAGAAGAGTATTTATCGATTAGATCGTTTTACAGATCACTGTACATATGATTTGGACAGTTTGTATGAAGCGTTAAAGCAGGTATATTAGATACAATTTTCTTTAGTGATCGTTATGCTACTTTAACATTGGTAATTTTATATTATACTTATTATATTTTTTACACATTAAATATATTACATTAGGATGACAAGCCAGATCCATCTATTCACTTTTTATCAGATCTTCCAAATGGAATAATTGCGGTTGACAGTTGGGATTTATCAGTGTCTCTCGATTTAAAGAGATATTCCAATGAAATTATTGTTGACGCTGCATGTGGTGCAGCTGTACTAAGAGGAGCTCATGTTTATGCTCCTGGTATTATCGGAATGCCAAATGGTAAAATTCTTCATATAATTATCCACAAAAAACTTATGATTAAATTTATTAAATTATTAAATTATTAAATTAGGTTTAACTATTAATACTAAAATCAGTGTATTCGCTGATGTTACTGGTCAATGTAAAAAAGGTTTGATTAAATCATATGCAGATAGCAATAAGATATATTTGGGTAATGGCATTCTTCAACAAACGAGAAAAGAAATATTTGGTAAAACAGCAAAAAACCCATGGTAAGGAATTCAAAACACTTTTTTTCATCTTTTATCACAGTCACAGTCGTTTCTTACAGTTTTTAAATTATAAATATTTTGTTATTGAAACTTTAATATTTGTACTTTATTCGTTATACAAAATTTTTATATTTAGAATTACTTTTCAGTGGTATTGCAATAATCATGACTGATGTAATCTCACGAATTCCACAATTGAATGCAAATAATGAATCTTTGAAATTACATGCACTGTTACAAAATTTGCCATCCATCATATGTAGCTTAGTTTTAAATCCCCAACCAGATGAAATAATTTTGGACATGTGTGCTGCACCTGGTAACAAAACCACGCATATTTCCTTGCTTATGAAAGGACAGGTATATATTTAAAAAAAAAGATGCCAAATCATACATTACTACTCTTTCCAACTACTCTTTACATCTTTCTGTTTAAATTCTAATTTAATCATATATTAGAATCCACAGATCGTAAAGATAAAAAAAAGAAGGCGAATATATAAAAAATATATTCCTTGATTTTAATCATAAATTTTGATATAATTTCCAGGGTATAATAATAGCTTTGGAGAAAAATCCAGGTAAAGTGGCACGATTTAAGAAAAAATGTAGTGATAAAAATATTAAAATATTTTGTTACGATGCTACAAAGGCTGTCATTGAACGAGAACACAATTTTGTCCGTAACGACGGACCTCCATTCGAAGAAAATTATTTTGACCGTATTCTCTTGGATACTCCATGCAGCGCGTTAGGTCAAAGACCGCAATTGTACAATACAATCACATTAGCCCATCTTCGTTCTTACGTTCCTTTGCAACGAAATCTTTTTTCTACCGTAAGTAGAATAAGATTTGTCGTATAGATACATACCTGCGATATATACATTGATTATATACATTGATCAGACTTTAAAAAAGTTGATACTTTTATTTAGGCCGTTCGCCTTTTGAAACCAAACGGGACATTGGTATATAGTACATGCACTATTACAATAGCAGAGAACGAGGGAATTATCGCTTGGGCATTGAAACAATTTCCAAAGTTGAAATTAGAATCCATTAACGATCAAATAAAAACAGATAAATATGGCACTCAAGGATATGTCATAGATGGTTTAACAAGTGAGAATGCACAAAAAGTATGTAGATTCGGTCCTGAAAGTGATTCTGTTGGATTTTTTATTGCGTGTCTGAAAAAATGTTCCTGAGATAATAAAATTTATTGAAACTTTATTGTTAATTTTTCTTTTTGATTTGATAAATTTATCTTTAGCCAAGAATTAAAAATAATTATTACTATCTTAGATATTCTTAGAATATTAATTAATCTAAGAAAAAAAACATTTTTGAAATAAATTGTTTAAAAAAGCGGACATTTAAGACATTATTGAAAAAGAGAAAGTAGATTGTAGGCTTTTTCGCAAAAGAGAATGTCTTTTTAAAATAGAATTTTCATAATCTACTTTGCATTTCTTATCATTGTATTCGTATTGTTGTTCATTAGTACATGCAAATCTGGTAAAACAGTACACGTCCCAAACAGTAAATAAGTACATTTCTTATTTTATTGTTGTTTACATAAAACTCCATCTCCAATGATTTCTGTTGTTAACACAGAACAATTGTTGCAAATTGCGTACAATGTTCTACCTAATTTCAAAGAAAAAAGAATGGAAAAAAGTCAGAGTGAGAGGAGGAGAAGAGGAAATTATCTAACAAGAAAAAAATGTAGAAGATAGATCTTTTTGAATTATGATTTACATGCATTCCATCAGCATCGGGAAAGAAGCAGATATAGAGATATATATATTCTTGCGATTTGAGCGTAAAATGTACGGGCCACATAGCAAAAGATGGTAAAATTAGCATATTGTTATTATCAACATCCTTAAATAAAAATAAGGATGTATTAATATAATTATGATCAAAAAGTGCTTTTATATTCCAATATTGTTTACCTCAATATGCATCGAACACCAATCAATTTCGCTCATAATGAAGAATCTTCCCTCGCTGCCAACATTTTTAATTTTCAGGGGTAAGGTAGTTTGTTCACCTACAAGACACTTCCCACAATCAAAGCTCTTTAATTTTCTATATCGTGTCACATTTTCTGTGGATATATCTGCATTGCTACTGATATCGGTAAACTGTAAATTTTCATTACTTTTAAAAAAGACAAACCTATGATTATTTGAAATATTGTAAGAAATTAGAAAACAAATTTGCGTACCTCCGCGCAGGAATTTGTTTGTCGAAATGGAATTTCCATGTTTCTTACCATTGTTTGTAGATTTTTTGATGGATATTGGGAATATGGAATACTAATCACTACGGAACAACAGCACATTCAATGGATTTAATTTTTTTGCAGTAATTTTCATTTTCTACGCTTTGCTTATATGTTTTATACATTTTTCATATAGATAATTTTGTGTGTATTTTATTTATCGCAATTGTAAATTTATTTACCTCTCAATAATGGTGGTTCTCGATATCCACGTAATGTAACAATTACCGAACGTCCTTGTTGCACATTTATTACTAACATTTCTTCGGGCTCATTTAAAATATCACAACGAAAAAAAACAATTAATTTTATATACATTCCTGGAGGAATATTTCCCGTTTGTCCTTTAGACTTGATCATAATGGTGAATCGGGAACTAGGTCTTGCCACCAGTTGAAATCTAGCTGAAGAAGTGCTCACATTTTGTAGCATGATAACTTTCTACCGAGAGAGAAATAGAGGAAGAGAGAGAATATTTTTTTATTACATTTAAAAATTATATTTTACAATACATACCCGGTATAATTTATTCGATTCACAGTTGCGAAATTCTACAGAGTTAGGTATCGCGATTAAAATCGTTTTCAACTTATTTTTCTTCGGTTGTCTAATCGACGGGGGATTTAATTCGACTTTTCTGAGAATGAAAATAAGTGATATACATAATATCTAAATATACCACAATGTCATCACGCTACTTTTTAATTATTATAAAATTTGCATTGAACGGATTCTAAAGTTATATGTACATGTTGTAAGATCATAATGAATGAAATGGTTAAAAACAATGGAAATTTTAAATACCTGGCATAAAAGTTTGTCATGAGGATCACGAATATGAACGTTTCTTAATAAAAAGATTTGTCACAGGATAAAGAAACATTTCGAAAATAGATTACTTGTAAAAATGTATAATTTTACATTTATTCTATATTAAAAGCGGCATTAATGTAATTGTACGACAAACTTGAAAACTAAATACAAACTTACGAATACATTATGACATGTCCAGCATATTCTAAATATACAGAGTCAAAATAAAATATCGTCGGTATATGAAACGTCACTTTTCGTTTTTCTTCTGTTGATGATTCTCTATAAAGGGGAGAGAAAGAAAAGGAAGAATCAGAATCTCGCTCATTTTCATTGCAGGAATCGGAAATAATTTAGTGAGCTACTCCTATTTATCTTACATCATACAAATAATATAATACGTGCTGGCTTAAACTCTTATTGCGGTTACTTCATGCATTGCGTAAGTTATCTCGCATACGTCAGATTACTTGCAACTACTCAAGTAGGAAACGGGTTTAATAACAGAACGCAAATTGATACTCCGTTCAACAACATTGTATTTTAAGCTTTATAGGTTCAGAAATTATAAGTGTTTCATTAGAGTGCACTTATTTGCTCTATAGATAAGCACACAGAGTCCATGTAATGTAGCAGCAAAGTAGGCTGGATGCATTAGTGTATATATACGAGATGCTAGCACATCCAAGATTGTTTACATCATATGTAAATACATAGGGTGGCTTCTGGCGCGAGATGTTCTTTTTTCAGAATTTATTGTATTTAATAGGTTTCATACATTGTACATCAAAGTACTTGTATTACTGTTTTTAAATGAACTGCAACAGATCTTCATCTGCAATACCCACTATTGCATCCAATCAAATTTGTTATAAAACGCACGTTACGATCGTATGACGAATGTGGCATGTATATATACGTATATATAGCCACCAGACACAGCATCATTTACATACAAGAATATCTTATTTTGTCCATATTCATGCAATCATATAATAAAAAAAGTTTTTATTTTGACAGTATTGTAATATTCCTTACACACTTTTTAAATATTAAAGGATTTATCTTACAAATACATCCGACGTAACGACCGTAGTGGCGCGTGCCATCACCTTGGACTTTATATGCGTGGAATAAGATTTTTTTTTACCAAAGCTTATTATTGACTGGAAAATATAAAACCCCATATTATACTTCACTATCCTACAAATACGATGCTTACTTTGCCGCAAGTATCATAATGTCACTGCATTGAAAGTACTATTTTATCTGCGGATTTCATGTTTATCTATGTTATCTGATATCATAAAAGTTTAACACAAAAGAGATGTTGGCAAATTGCTTTATACTGAAGTATTTATATATATATATATATGCATGCATGCACGTATGCACATATGTATGCACATGTATGTACACACGTACATATACATATTCCTACATCTACATATATGTGTATGTATATAAGCACATACAAATGTACATATATACATACATATATACATACATCATACATACATACATACATACATACATACATACATACATATATATAAACACATGCAACGTACAAACATATTCCTTTCTTATTTAATCTAAAATTAGATTTTTCTTGGTGTGTGCTGATTTTTTTACAATATATCAGCTAGTTCTCCATCTTGCAATAATCTAGTCTAGTCATTGAATATTAAGACATTATCAATGTGCAATTGTACGAAGTGAACGTTCTTACATATATACAATTTACGATCACATTTTAAACGTACAATTTGCGCGTAACGTGCAATTTGATGCATTGCCATGGTATTCCCTTAGCATATGCACAAAATGATATTCATTTTCACTTGTCAAGTTCCAGAGCAGCGTATTGCTCTTCATCCACTTCGGTCATCATTAAATTTCCATCTGGTAATAGGAGCACTACCCTTCTAGTTCCTCCTGAAAGGAAGAGAAACCAGATGATTTGATCATATGATAAACGTATTAAATATCCCATTCTATCTACATATATAGAAGGAATTTCGATAATTTTCTATATTAAAGTTCTTATATCGCTCCGTATACATCACTTATATTTCACACTAGAGATAATTTGAACAAACTAAAAATCTTTATTTAAAAATAAAGATATACAACAAAAAGAATATTACCTGGAGTGGGTTCTTCAGCTTGTACCACTTGAGCTATAACTTGTGCTTGTCCGTCGTTATCTTCTTGAGTTGCAGATACATCTGTCGTATTCGCATTATCCATTATAGACATGACCATTGGACTTTCAGTCGACTCTGCTCCATCTTCCTTTACATAAAATTGGGGTGTGAGATTTACTTGATCGGGAATTAGTTGTGCTACAGCCTCGGCAACTGCGTGATCTAATGTCAAGACTGAACCGTCATCTCCTTGTTGCTCGGTAGTAACATATACGCATTGCTGCTCGCCATCAGCTCCATGCGTTACTAAAAGCGTTTGTCCTTCCTCGCCTTGACCCGTAACTTGATAGACGACGCCATGCTCGGCTATAGTAACAAGATTGGACGTATCGTCAGTCGTTACTTTTTTTCTTCTGCAATCTTTTCTTCGGTCTTTGCACCGGTCGATGTTACTGACATAGTAACAGTGGATGTTGTCGGAACTGTCGACAATGCCGTAGTAATTGATGTCTCAGCAGAACCAGAAGCAATGCTTACTGTTAAAGGTGTTGTGGCGGATGTCGCTGCTACTGTAGAAGCAGTATCGTCTAAGCAAGGCAAATCTGGCGCCGGTATTGCTACATTCGACAAATTGATTTGCGCTGTCGTTTCACTACCTTGAACAATGGTGCCGGTTGTCCCGCCAGGACTCATTTCGACTCTCATAATGCCATTGCTTTCGGTAAGAGGGTCAAGAGAGGGTAAAACTAATTCAGCAGAAGCGGTTGTCGTAGTGGCGGTGGCAGCAGCGGTAGCGGTGGCGGTGGCGGTGGTTGCAATTGTACTTGTAGTTGTAGCAGTGGCGATGGCAATGGCAATAGTGGTAGTGGTAGTCGTGTTGGTATTGATATTGCTAATGACAGTCGTAGCAGTGGCGTCTGCCGCCATAGTTTCAGATACGCTGGTAGTTGTTTTTGCTGTAGTCGATAACGTAGTCGTAGGTGTTGTTACTTCATTGGATTCAGATTCACCTGGTTGCTCGATTGGTTCACCATCTGGACCAATTATGCGTCCCGTGAGAGGGCACAAAGTAAACGGACGTGGTGGACTATCGGGTTCCGGGGCCGTAATGATATCTGATTCGGAAGGAGGGGGAAGATCTGGCTCACCCTCGCTACTACTCTCTTCTGAACCGACTTCATGGAATTCCATGTGGAGTCCATCGCCTTCCGCTAATTTGCTCTCCTTAGGTTTACTCCCTGCCTGCGTTATTGCGGAAGATGTTTCGGTACTTGCTTTTGCTCTACCTCGTCCTACAATACCGCGTGTACCTGTTATAAGTCCACGACCACCTGGCTTAATGATGCCAGCTGCCTCTTGGGCTTTTCTCTTTGCCATTAATAATTTTTGTTGCGGAGATAACAATGACTGTGCCTTACCCACTGGTGTTTTCGGAGACGGTTTTGTTTGTTGTGATTGCTGCTGTTGTGATTGTTGTTGCTGCTGCTGTTGTACTGAACTAGTTCCAGTTTTGACCAGCTGTTTGGATTGCGGAGATGTGAGTACCGCGAATTTCGGCCTGATCTGCGTGACCGTGCCAGTGGCAACTGGTGAAACAGCTTGCTGCGTACTCACGATCGTCGTACGCTTCTGAAATACCGGACGCGTCGCTTGGGTTTGGATCTGTCTTGGCGCCGGTGCTCTGACGGGAGTGCGGATTGTACCAAGAACACTTGTCGCCGTTGTAGCGCGCAATGTTGGTCTAGGTAATAAAGGACGACCATCTACTGTTCGCTGAGGAGTGACAGAAGCTGGTCTTATGCCTGTAGTTATTCTCGGTTGCAAAGTTATTGGTGCCGGTACCGCAGTCACAACGTGTATTTGTTGCAATTGTGAAGGATCTGGTTTCGGTTGTATCTTTATAGGCTCGTTCTTCTGCACGCCACCAATTTTTGATGTAACGGGCTTAGATGTGACCACCTTCATTTGAGTTACTACTTGGCTCCCATCCATCTTCGAAACAACTTTCACCGGAGTGATAGAATTTGATTGCGACGTCGAGATTACCTGTTTCCTCACTACGTTTGTACTATCCCGATTTTGAACCATGAGAACACCTTGCGATGTAGGAGATCCTTTAACTGCTAATTTTCCACTGGGAGATGAATCCAATTTGATGATACCATCTTTTCGTGACATGACATAAACACCAGAAGTTAAATTTGGCATTTGCTTGGGATCGACTTTAACAACCCCTTTTGCATTAGCTACTAAAACAGGTGGTTGACTGGATTTCGTTCCCTCGGGAGACTGTAAACCCAACGATGTTGCCAAATCAGTGGAAGAAACCGAAGCTCTGTTGGATCCATTGGACTGCGCATTAGCACGACTGAATGCACGTTGAATCACATCGCTACGACCTGTTACTCTTTCATCTTCGGATTCCCCGGTCCATTCATCATCACTGCCCGTGTCACCTTTCGTTCTCTTTGCCGCGCTGCCTCCACCTTCTTCCGAATCACTCTCCGTATCATCAATCCTCCTTTTACCTAACACTACATTTCCATAGCGAGCGTTAATCGAAATAACACATATATAATATAAAAATGTTAATTAGTATATAAAGCAAATTGTTTAAATGGATAAATATAAATACATACATTCGTTATCCTCGTCTTTCATCGAACCGCACCATTGCTTCACTTGATCCATTGCTTTTGATTTGCTAGACCGCATCGGACGACTATGTACACGCGAAAATTATTGTGAATACGATTGCACTTTACAGAATAAACTATTTACGTAATCATATTTCTCAACTATAAGAGCGATGACACTCACCTTGCTTGCGTCGCCGTGCTTGGGCCAGGCTTACTAGCTTCGCTTTTTAGCATCGGTTTTTGCGTGGACAAACTTGCACGTCCTACAACTTTTGCATTAGCTTGTTGTTGTGCCGCTTTAAGTTCCTTCTGTTTAGCGAGATTCCGCTCAAATTCTTCCAACATATTTTTGCAAGCCGCTTGCACAGCCTCTGCAGATTCCCATGTATTGGTTTCGCTAAAAATTTTGAATATTTCAAAACATATTGTTATGACTCTTGAAAAAAGGCATCTTGGCTAATGAAGGATACTCACTGAGAATAACCTTCCCATTTAATTAAGTATTCCGAACATCTCTTTTTTGGATTAAAACGTTTAGCCAAAATTTTGTCAACGAAATATTCTTCATTGCTCAAATCTGCATCCTCTTCGGTAGCTCCCTTTTTCTGCGGAAATTTTAAAATATATAAATAAATAAATTAAAAAAATGTGTATTTTGCCAAATGTGCAAACGTCAAATAACACCGAACCTTGGGCTTGATTGATGGTTTCAGTCTTGGTTTTTCTTTTGATTTGTCCACTTCAACATCCATGGATTCACTCTTTTGTGTTTTTATTTCCAACGATTTTGTATCCTTGGTATCTTTTTTAGCTTCTCCTGTTTCTTCTGGTTGTCCATTTCTGATAATTTTACGTACTATTATTGGTTTGGCACCTGCAAAGCAATGGGAGAATATGAAAATTGAACCATTTATAAAAATAGCATTTTTCATTGTGTTCTATATATAGGTATGCATGTTTTCCATACATATGCATGTTTTCATACTTTGTAAAAGTAAATTACCTTCAACATTCGTTTGAATTTGTATCGGAGTATCCTGCATTTTTGCATTACTGATTTTTGTAAAAGTTTGTATGGTTTTCCCTGCTGTAATCCACGAATCCCTCACATGTGTGTCCATTTTGCACCATTTCTGGTACAATTTCCAAGCACTAGACGTATCTTTATCTGTACCTTCTTGTTGAACTTGTGTATCTTTCCACAACAAAAATGCCCATACTTGTGCTTTTTGTCCATTCTACAAATAGAGGAAAATTTTGTATTAATCTTGCATAAATCTGTACAATTGTATTACAGGTATCTCATATGAAGAATCTAAATGCGAAGTATAGATACAAACATCATTATTTTCACGAAAATGTGATACTTTCGAGCAAGCTCCCTCTTTTGTACGATGTTCTTGAAACTCTTCAATAAAATGAAAGACAGAATGACATTGTCCACATACTAATACATCTAATCGTCCTATTTCTTCTTGTGCTGCTACAAAAAAAAATTGTAAGATAATTCATTTAAATAAATTAAAAAGGAGAAATATATTTATCATTACATTATCTTCCACAAAATAAAAATCTTGCCTCAAGTTTAAGTGAACATAAGTTGAATCAATTTTGACATAAAATTCCAAGTTAATGATATACAAATCTAACAAATAAATAATAAAACAAAAATAATCGATATATAATTACCTTTAATAATAGTAGGTTTATTACTGATGGCTGACGGGCCATCATCTCCCTCCATTCTGTATACGATGCCTTGCGATCTCTTTTCTAAAAATTAAATAATTACTGATAACGAGACAAGAATGCATAAAGTTTTCACTTGGTGTAGAATAAATAGGAGGCAAGAGCGTGTGAAAGGCGAGGGAAAGAAAGATGGAACGAACTTAATTTATATGAAATTAAACGCGAGGTTGCGAGCGATCTTTTTTAACTTCGAGCAAGCATCACGCTTCGCATGATTCGCAACAATGATAGAAGCGACGCAAGAAGCCTGTTCTTTTTGGTTGAACTTCTTCCATGGTTCATCTCTTCTCTTTTTTTTCCGCGTTCGAGAGTTCAGCTAAAAAGAACAGGTCTCGCGTTTCGCAATTCGCGGCGAGAAAGTCGAAGCGCCACGACATATGCCGGCGATCGCGATCGAACGACACGTATTTTTTCTTTTTTTTTTCTTTTCTTTTCCAGGCGGCGGACATTTGCACTCTTGCCGCTCCGATTCGTACACGCGCGCCTCGCGCATCGTGTCATGCGCGATGCGTTTACAATTTATGGCCCCTAGCCGTAATATCGAAAATCTACATTTCAGACACGGTCCCGTCGCCAACTTATCGAAATGAAACGCATTCCCGCATATTTCTCACGAAGCGTCGAGACTGGGCGTGCGACACGAGGCGATTGTAAACGCGGCCAGTCACGGCGTAAGTCATGAACCAAGGGGGGGGTGGGGGAAGGGGGTGAACGAACACTCGCGCGCGCATTTATTCCCGCCATGATTTGCCGCGGCATTTATCTCGCATTGTTCACGAGCGAAAAAATTATTTCCCGATCGTGAGACCTGAAAACGGTTCGAGATCGCTTAAATATTATCGATCACATCGAGACCGGTCTTTTTCATTCTCATTGTCGGTCGACATCTACATTGTTACCGTAACCGTTATCGTCGTTGTCGTCGTCGCCCGCCGTCAACGTTGTCGTTACCGTCGTCGTCTTTGCCGTTACCGTCGTCGATGATGATGTCGTCGTCGTCGTCAGCGTCGCCGTGTTGTCGTTATCGTCGTGGTCGTTGACGTCGCATTGTCGTCGCATTACCGTCACGTTGTCGCCGTGTCGTCGACGCGAGTTCGACGGCTCCTCACGAGCAAGCCGATGCTCGTCAAAGATGGCTCTCGTCGCCGAGCGACTCCTCTACGAGCTACTCACTTCCTGTTTTTACGTGAATGCTTTCTGAACACACCGCGACCGCGCGTTAACGGCGATTAACGCTAACGTTCTCAAAAGGAGACGAGAGATGCTCACTTACTACGGCGAAACCGGCAGAGCAGCTAAATCTCCCGCAGCCCGGAAAATAGCTCGTTGTCGCGCAAGACAGAACGAAAACAGCGACCGTGAACGATCGCGTCGGCCGACAGTGGCGCCATGGCGGCCGTCCGCCGCCCGGCTGCCCACCCGCCTGCCCTCTTGTCCGTTCTGATGCACCTATTCGGCGCGATCCGGCGACCACGGCGAGCGCGCGCGCGCGCGTACCCGGCATGCTTCGAGTTTTCGAGCTCCGACTTCCGACTGGTTCCGACGTAGGCCGCTTCTTCGACCATTCCCGAATTGCCCGAGTTTATCCTGCTCGCATTCTTCTACTTGCTATTCAGCTATTGTTGGGAATATCCGGATTTCCCGTTTCTTTTCGATCTTTGATCTTTCCGAGACTTTTCCGGTCTTGGGCCATACATTTTTTTTTTAACCTACCTGAAACCCGCGGATTTTTTTGCAACTAAAATGCTGAAATTTAGAATTTTAGCAGGTGATATATTTCGCTCATTCATTTCCTTTCGTCTATTCGTTATTTCGGTCGTCTTTATTTTTATTTCAAAACATTCTCATTGATTCTCGCCTGTGTCTATTTTCGAAGTGATAAACAATCATAGCTTTATATCAATGCGATGAATGAATCAACATGTCAATATCGGATTGAAAGAGAGAAGAGACAAATTTGATTTTTTCACGTGTTCAGTTAAATTACATTATCATTTAGTTGCGGCTTGGTATCTACAGTATGAGTTTTATTTTTATGTTTAAGGATTGGATAGATTTCTTTCTAAATCTAATTTATATAGCTTTGTCTTCTTTTTATGCTTACTTATCTATTTTATTTTAAATGTAGGAAAGATGCTAGTGTAACCGTTCAGTGTGTACATCACTATACCAGGCATAAACATAAATCTAAAAGGAATACATCTATATTCTTTTTTTTTTTTGTTACCCAAAATCCTTGCAGTGATCTCTTTTGAGAGTTTCCTGCGAGTCATCAAAACATAAATTCTTTTTTGGAGTAAGTAATGTGTACATATTATGCATAAAGTTATCATTTTTTAGTTTTCATATAATAATATATTTTATTATATATAGAATATTTTGTCTTGATAAATAATGGCTGAGGAGGAGTCTGAAGAAAAGGAATACCGTTGGGAAACTGGTTATGAAAAGACATGGTATGGTTTTTTAAATTATATTAATCATCTATTATTTGATATCTAGATAAATAATTTTATATCTTATATTGAGATTCAATTATATGACAATAATAATTATATATTTGTACAAAATTTATAGGGAAGCGATCAAAGAAGATGATCACGGCTTGTTGGAAGCTTCTGTTGCAGATATTATTCATAATGCTAAGAGAAAACGTCAGTTGGAAAGAAAACAGGGTGCTAGACTAGGAATGATGAGGCATCTCTATATTATCTTGGATGCTTCTGAATCAATGTTGAATCAAGATTTGAAGCCAACTCGGTTTCTATGTTCACTAAAGGTATGAACAAAATACCCTGTATTGAGTGTCTGTTTATAAAAATATGTGTTAACAAGTATATATAATTATATATTTGAGAAATATTTGTTCAAAGCTTCTAGAAGATTTTATCGAAGAGTTTTTCTATCAAAATCCTATAAGTCAATTAGGTATAATTATAACTAGAAATAAAAGAGCTGAGAAAATTAGTGATTTGACTGGTAATTCAAAGAAACACATTAAGGTAATCATATTTGTTTTTTCTTTGAAACATTTTTCTTTATCTACATTGTAATCTTATCCTTTGTATCTACAGGAATTGCAAACGTTGCAACAAACTATGGTGGGTGGTGAACCTTCCTTGCAAAATTCTTTGGAATTAGCTACAAAGTTATTAAAATTATTACCATCTCACGCAAGTAAAGAAATATTAGTAATTATAGGAGCTTTGACTACATGTGATCCTGGCGATATCAACGAAACGATACGAGTATGCTTTGCTATCTGTCACATATATATGATAGCATTCGTTTTAAAAACTTCTTGACATTAAGTTGCTTATTTATTTTTTGCAGAATATGAAACTGGATAGTATTAGATGTAGTGTGATAGGATTAGCCGCTGAACTATATATCTGTAAACGAATGGCAAATACCACCGGTGGCGAACATAGCGTTGCACTTGATGATAAGCATTACAAAGAGCAGTTAAATGCGCACATCGATCCTCCACCTGCTGCAAAACGATTAGATGCAGCGTTGGTGAAAATGGGTTTTCCTCATCATGCTTTACATTCTAGTGCGCCAGATACATCTATAACTGTGTGTATGTGGTAAGTTGCACAAATCAAAATGAAATATGCTTGTCGAATGAGATTTTATTAATATTTCGATAATTTCGCTATATATGCTATGTATTATGTATATTGATTATTTTTTTCCTCTTTTTATATATATATATATATACAGCCATGCACAAAATTCCGAAGAATCAATTAAACTTATGACTACTGGCTATCTTTGTCCCCAATGCCTCAGTAAACATTGCGAACTTCCTGTGGAGTGTAGAGCTTGTGGTCTTACTTTAGTATCTGCTCCGCATTTAGCACGATCATACCATTATCTATTTCCTGTTGATCCTTTTAAAGAAGTTGCACTTGAGAGCAATTTCTCTTTCTGCTTTGGTTGTCAAAAAGCATTTGTTCAAAAGGATAAAAAGGTAATATTTATCAAATATTTTTTAAATTTGTTGAGATATTTCTAGACGATTAAAAAATGTCAATTTTGAATTATGGAAGAAATCAACATAAGTTAATATTATAAAATATCATGTATATCTCTTTTTAGGTATATATTTGTGGAAAGTGTAATCAAACGTTTTGTTTAGACTGTGAAATATTTATTCATGAGATATTACACACATGCCCTGGTTGTGCGGTAAATCCGGAATCATATAAAAAGTCTGCAGATAAATCTTAAAATAATGTTTAATATTAATTCTGCCATCAGCACTGCCAAAGAGCAATAAAAATTAACATTTTATACACATATATAGTAATTGATATAATAATAATTTTATCGTTTGCATATTAAAATAAGTAATTTAATTATGCTTGCAAGTTGTACTACTTATTATAGATTTATAAATGTACAACCCGTTTGCAACCCGTCTTATTATGCTGTTACGCAACATTTTTTTACTATCATTTTAAAACAAATTTTATATTAAGATGGAATTTTTTAAGCGATGTCAAAGATTTATATTTTTTTAGCATAAGACAATAATTTCAATAATTTTGTAACTGATTTCAAAAAATTTTATATTTTGCAGAAGATTTTCTGCCTCCTGCAGTTTGTTGCAATTTTTATGAATAATGCAAACAGTTATAATTTTATATTTAATATTTGCATACTAATTATTACAACATGTTAAAACTGAAATTACAGAGTTGAAACGTTCAAGATAAAAAACTATTATCGTTTATATCAATCTATTGAACGTATAAACTATAATGTTGTAATATTGATATGTATAAACTGACAACTGATAAAAAAATTATTTAGATACATACTTATGTAAACATTTACAACAAATAAGATATATGTATATACTTGTATATAACTTGTATTAAAAATATTAAGAATATTTTTTGTAAATAGAAAAATATTTCTTTTGCATACAGATTATTTACACTTTAAACATATCATAGTGGTCTATTAGTGCACATGACGTGTGATAAGGATAAAAAGGATCACTAATATTTTGATAAATACAAATGAAGAAGAATGTATATTTTGTACAAAAATAATAAAAAAATATCTTTTCAAGAAAAATATTTTTGCTTGTATAACATAAACACAGAAATATGTATATGTATATGACATGGAGAATGCGAATGGCTGAGTGTTTGACACGTGATTGGGAATTTGAAACAACAAGTACACCGCAGCAGTACGACAAGTATTGCGCTCCTAACGCAGCGCAAATGTCCTACTTTAATAGTATAGTGGGGGAACATTGAAGCTTATTGTTACCTAGACAGGTGGAAAGTGGGCATCGTTAAATTACAGTACGTTATTAATTTGCGGTCGTCCGCTGAAGCGACCGGTTCTCCTCGAGTACAATTGATACTCCAGCGATATAAATTCAAATTATTTTTCATGCGTTAATCCAATTTAGTGTCGTGTTAGTGTTTTTATTTTATACGTATTTTTAAACAAAGGTAAGCTTATTTAGTTAATTATACTACGTAGTTACGTTGTAATTATGTATAAATATTTACTTAATATCAGAGCAACTTTTGTTTGTTTTGTAAATCATTTGTTATATTTGTACATGTGAAAATGTCGTGGAAATTCTTTGAAAACAATGCTTGAATATAAATATTGTCACATGTCCTTTGCATGAATGTTCTTGACATACATGTATATATAATACGTATATGATATGTATTCATGAAACGTTTAGTTGAAAAAAATTACAAAATCCAACATTGCTATTTATATCCGTACAATATATTGCCGTTGCAGACTTCTTTTCGATAAGATCTCCTATAAATTTATAGTCGTGTTCAAACAAATATCTAAAGATTAATTGTGTTATCTATAATTATCTATAATATTTTTTCTAAAAA